CCAAAACAGTAGGCATAAGTTGTTCTAACATGCATGAAAATGGTACAGATGGATTCCTTAAATTTTTCTGATCATTTTTCATATATAACTTGTTTGATTTGGAGCTACGGTTAATTTTCTATGATTTATTGAAGTTTTAGCTATTTCTGGAATTTTCCTGATTATTTATAAAATAAACTAAATTCCAGAAAAGGAATATTGCGTCAGCATGGCGTCATGCTGACCCCAGCAGAGTCAACAGGGGCTGGTCCGGGTCAAACTTGACCAGGGGGCCCACTGGTCAGTGACACACCGCTGGCATAAGTCACTGACGTGTGGGGCCGGTCAAAGGCCACGTCAGCGAGGTCAACGCCGATGCGTGGGGCCACTGTGATTAATTTTAAACTAAACAGGAGTTAAGCTGTGATTAATTAGGGGCGTGGGGCCCATGAGTCAGTGTCCTAGGGGGTTGGTTAGTGAGGGGGGGTTAGCCGCTAACGACGGCCACGTCGGATTCGCCGGCGGTTGGACGACGGCGACGACCCAGAGCGGCGGTGGCTCGCCGGAGTTGCGCCAGGGACGACGGATCGACGTGCCAAGCGCACCAGGAGGTGGCCCATGGCCGCGCGCATCCAGGGGAACCAACGGAAGGGTGCGGGGTGGACGGAGTTCGCCGGAAGCGAGGTTGTGGCGGCGGCCGGAGTTCGGGCGCCGATGAAAACGACGACACCGTGCACGGGAGGATCTACGGTTAGCACCTACGCGTTCTATGAGAGCTCACGAACCCAACGGAGGCATGCACGGGACCAAATGGCCACCGGAGCCTCGTCGGCGATGAGCTCGTGCGGCGGCGTGCTGTCGGGGGAGAGAGGCGCGGCGGCTACGGCATGCTAGAGAGAAAACGGAGAGGGGAGGATGATCAGGAGCTCACGTGGAGTGCAGTGGTGGCCTCGGCTTGCTCGGGAACGGCCGGAGTTCCACGAATTTGGGCGACGGCGACCGGCGGGTCCGAGGTAGGAGACGAGCCCGGAGAGGATGTTCGGGGCTTCTGGAGGGGCGTGGCTCGGTGAGGAGGAGGAGGGGGGTCGAGGCGGAGCCTTTGAGCGCATCGGCGAGGCTAGGGGTGGCCGGTGGCC